CAGATCCTGAATAAGTTTGGAAAGGAAGGTCAGCAAAAGAACTCAGGGATTCCCATGGTTTAGAACCAACCTCATGATCTCTGCAGACTCACTTAACATTTTTTAACATAGCAAGATTACCACCTCCCTTGGTTTGAACGGTGGTTTTGGTTATGGGTCCAATTTCAGGCTGAGTCCTTGTGCCACATCGGCACAAAGTGTCGCTAAAAGTTTACTGGGATTCTGTKCTCTGCTTCTGATTATCATTTTTTCCATTTAACAGTTACTCTTAAAGTAACTTGAACTTACCATGACCAGTTTTCTTTCATTTCCCTGTATGCAATGAATTCAATCAGGCTGGTATCAAAGCCTCCTCTTATCAGAGCACTTCCCCAGGAAACTCGTCATGCTTCTGTGAACACAGGGCACCTGCCAATAAGGTAAACCCATTTTCAGATTGAACTTTGGGACAATATGTATAAAAAGTAAGAGTACACATCAATTACCAGCAGAGCTGGCCTGGCCTACCATCCAAATGAAGTTSCCTGTAAGTATATGTATCACTTTCTCATAAAACTCTTAAGGCTGGGCAGCTTTTAAATGGTTTTGAGCTTTTCTTGGCACTGAGTGAACTCATAGTGATTTCTGCAGGACTCACAGATTGAAAATGCCAATGGGGTGGGGACTGCAGGGTGAAATCTCCCTTTTGGCAGGGATGGAATTCCACATGCCTACTCAAATGTGAGAGAGAGAAGTGCTCTGTTCCAGGGGTGACACACACAYRTGAGAGACATCCACAGGACAATATTCTCTCCTTCCCAGCTCAGAGGTAAATCAACAGTCTTAGCAAGTCACATAAAGTTAGGGCTCAGCTGTTTGCTAAGAGCTTAAGAGGACCATGAGACATGAGTGACCTCAYGTGCACTCATATATCTTGTTCATCAAAATCCCCAGAAATGAAATTTGGGACTAGTTCAATATTCAAGGGAATATTTTCAAGATAATAATTGTTCCCAAAAGTTAGCACAAATGAATGTATCATCCTAACAAATAATTCTTGTGTCTACTTAAATACTCTTCAGCTGGGCCCCACTGCAGAAAATGCTGAGCTTGTACACAAAGTAGACTGGAAGTCAGTATTATTTTAAGACARAAAATAACTTGGTGTAAGGTAGGCAGTGACAATGTTAAAATTTTTGAATTTTAAATGCTCATTTCTGATTTTGATTGCTTATTTTCTTGACAGTTTCCTGGCTCCAGCTCTTGCCAGGGTATTGCAAATGAGTGGTTTCAGTCACTAAAGAATCACCATGAAAGGTATTGGCAAAATAAGATTTTAATATGAATTTGTGAAAGTACAAGTTAACAGAGTTCAGTGGCAAGGTTTAGGCTATTGCTTACTGTGTAGATGAAACCTTCAAAGGTAAATCAAATTAAAATCACTTTAGGAAGGCATACACAGAGTTCAGGGTGCATTGGGTGCAAAGGGTTTTAAAGAATGTTTAATCGTTGACTCATTTACAAGGTGATTCATTAGGGTTTACTGCTATTACAATAGACTAAAATATAGATTCAAGATAGCAGCATTCATACCCTAATCACTCCACATGCACACACAGAGGCCCMGAGCTGTCTACATTTGTATCTATGTGTGCCAAAGTACCTGTTAAAAATTCCCCTTGAGTTCGCTGGAACAGGTCCAATCCCTTTGCATTTCTCAACAGGTGAGGGTTGAGGAGTGGGAGAAACCACCTTAGTCTTCATAGACAATCTTTTGCACATTGCAAGTTTGAGGGCTGAAAAACTCCAGGAGATAGCCCACTCCAACAGAGATGGTTGTGCAGCCCACTGCAGTCCAGGGGAGCTCAAAGGCCTCACTTAGCACTGCTGTTTACGGAGTCAAGAGATGATTGTCCTTAGTCCCTGGGAGTTTTCAGCCCTGGCCATATCCCAAARTTGGTAACAATGGTACCGTTCCACTCGGGCTGTGATACAGGTAGATAATGTTCCAAGGCTGTCAGGGGATAAGTGATTATCCCTTGTTCCCTTCCTTGGTCAGGCACCCAGTGTTCTGGATTCAATCAGTGTCACTCCCACATTTCCTATTAAGAGCTCCCAGTCCAGTTGGGAAAGTCAGGTCGGGATAAAGCCTGAATGTAAAGTCTGACACAACAGCAGCAAAGGTTTCCCAGCCTCCTCTCTGAGGCCAGAAATTATCTCCCCTTTAATCTGATCTCCAAGAGCAATAATGCCCCAAAACATGGCTATTAAAGCTTATGCTTTATTGAGTGAAACTCTACCGGGAATCCACAAAGCTAAATCCTTACTTTAATCTTTTCCAAAAATTGGAACATCAAGAAAAACTCCAAGGAGCACCACAATGAAAGTTCACACCACTCTGGCATTGGAGTTATACTTAAGCAGGAGAACACATCACATACCTGACATTGCTGGAAGAGGCAATTTACCTTTTATCAAAATCCCTCATGACACATTTATGTAAATAATATAATTGAAAGGACCAATATTTTCTTTGCCTATGCTTATTTGCTCTGTATAAAGCCTTTTTTAAAAAGTGTTTATCTTTGGTAATCCACTTCTTTTGATGCCTGATCTGGCTACCTAAAACAGAGGGCAGACAAATTCAGAGAATCAAAAGCAGTTCTATTTATTTCAGGGCCTTCAGAGCCATTCAGGGCAGTCCCAGCCCAGCCAGGGGCTGCACCCACAATGGACAATGGCTCACGGGTTTTTCACCCTTTCTCACTTTTGTCCATTTGCACATCTGGGCTGAATCCTCCAATTGCAGCTGCAGCCAATGCAGTCATTGACTTCAAGTTGGCTCCCCCCAATTCTCTGTTGTTTCCATCTCTTGGGGCCTGGCCCAGGGAGGTGTCCTTGACTTTGGGGCTGCAGAGGAATTGTTTTGTCTAAAAATGGGAGAACGGGAGCTCAGCATCATATGTGGAGCCTGGAGGTCTGCACTAAAGAATTACAAGAATTACAGGATTACAGATACGTGAGAACATAGAAGCTAAAATCCTAAGGYATCACTTTCCTTCAATGTATATTGTTTTCAACAGGAACTTATTTTTCTTTTCTAATAGGGCTGAGTTGCAATCAAGGTGGTTTTCTAAAAAAAGTGTCATTGATGCAATGTGCAAGAGGTTTTGGCTTGACAAATGGTTTCCTGCACCACCTCAAGGTAGGAGGGTAAATGAAATTGGTCTGAAAGCCAGTTGACTGAGAAAAGGCTTCAAAAACTGAAGAGAACCTTCTCAGCAGGGCTGAGTCACTCTGAAAGTCCCTTCAAAAGTTTCATTGCCCATAACTAACTCCTTCTCTCATACCAAAGATGTGTGTACATGTTCTGAACTCCAGTTTTGGTTTTGCTAAATGCTGCTTTCTGGGCTTGTTTCTTTGATGCTCAGGRACCTGGGCCTTACCAATTGCCACCCAGAGAGAATYGCTTCATTATCTYGAGGAACAGACTCCAAAGCTTSAGCCCAYATGGAAAACCCAYCCAAGCTCTGTGCAGAGGAATTCCYTCCTACCTYGCTTATCCAGCTCCTGGTGAGTCTKGTACTGAGTMYTTYGTGTTCCAAAATAAAGACAGGTTAACARGRTTACAGATTACTTGTTCAYCCCCAAGTAAAGCTAAGTAAGTAAATTATTKAAATCCTATTGGTTTTCATGATTTTTAATATGTGGGTGAATGCATTGGCAGGAATGTCTGGCTGTTCACACAATCCTGAATTTTTTAGGTAACCTCAGGCATGTCCAGCACCGGGCTCCCAGGGGTTCTGCATGGTTCCTCTCTGCCATAGGGCCAGACAGGGCTGGGGCAGAGTGTGATTTTGCCCCAGAGCTCATGCAGAAACCCTGTGTTTTCTCACAGARATCCACACAAGCTCTGCTGGTCATAAAGAACCAGGAGTGTTACCTCCTGCTTTGGTGTAGCAGTACATATTAAAAAAACCCTTTGGACTCCAAACCCATCTCACTGAAATCAAAACCAGAATTTGATTTGACACTGCTAGAGCAGGAATGGTTACAAGTTATTTGCCTATATATATTACAAAAACACCTTTTAAAAAGAATGGGCTACATTGCAGTTGAAAAGAATCTTTTGAATATTTGCAGTGACTTCCTGCCACAGACTGGAGTTGCTCACTGAATGAAACTAATGAAAAATATTTAAAAACCTCCCAGACTGAATGACCACCCCTGTCAACAATTAGTTACATCACCACAGAAAAAAAGCTYAGGCAAGCTAAAGACAAATACTGCTGCCACCTAAAATTAGCAAAGAGACCTCTACAGACTTGCACATATGTGGGATATTTCAGCTTGAAGTGCCTATTTCCTGTAAAACAGTTTTCAGTGGCCATGTTGTATTCGGGCAACATATTTTGATGTGCTTTATGACTGCAAGGAACATATATCATTCTTATCTCATAATCATCAGATTCCAGCAGGTCAAAATTTGCAGAYGTACATACAATCCCCATATTTATCAAGTAGTTACAACAGGAAATATTTTCCAGTGACATGTGACAGGGAAACAAAATAATTTYATTGCAACACTCAGTCCTTCCACACCTAATTCTGATAACATATAAAAGGTGGCGGGTTCACATTGC